TCACCTGCGAGCGCCTCCCACTTTTCGAGGAGGAGGAGGAGGAGGAGCAGGAGGAGGGGGAGGAGGAGTATTGGCACTTGCTGACGTCCCGCTCGTCCTGGACAGCCGTCGCCGCCACGGGTGGATTCTGCGCAAAATTCTGGTCAGAATGCTGCTCCACTGGAGGGGTCCGGGGAGCAGTGGTACAGTCGAAACGCTGTAATGAGGAGCCCTAGCTGAAGGTCGAGGCTCTCATTTTTCCAGGAGTGAAATGTCGATGTCCCATATGGGGGACCTAAAACAGCATGCAAACCCATGAGAAAACACTGAGCCCCTCCCCAACGAAAACGACTCCTTCTTCAGCGGCCCGACTGTATCGATACCACGCTTGCGCCGCAACTCGACGGTCCACGCGGATCTCTTGGATCGGCGCAACCACGGACCACGGGCGGCTCAGCGCCGGTACGGGAAACCCGCGCGAAGCCTAGGATGGGGGTACAGAAAAGCTATGCCACTCCCCTGACCTCTCCCGGGGGGGCAGTCTGACCAGAATTTCGAGAAGAGTCCGGCCGTAGCGGCTGTGGCTCCCCAGGACGAGGCCGTAGCGGCTGTGGCTCCCCAGGACGAGCAGCGGTATCGGTTCCATGCCATCCTCTGATCGGAAAAGGTGGCGGCATCTGAACCCTACACCCACCAACAATCGATTCACCTGAATCGATGGAAGGCGGGGGTGGGGTTCGGATTTCGCCGCGGGCTCGACGCATTCCGAACCCTACCCCCGCCGCCCATCGAGTTGCCTGAATCGTGGATCGCCGCCGACGAAGGTTTTTGTGTGTGCTGTTTGTCTTCTTCGAGCTAGCGCCACGGTCATCAACAGCACAGCGGCAACCGAGGCGGCGGACAGTCTCAGCACCGAGCGGCGCTGCTGGCGGCGGGGCCTGGGCACGAGCGGCGATGCCTCGGGGTCGCGGCTGGAGTCCGCCGTCTCCTCGCTCGCCATGGCGTCGAAGGGAGGCTGCAGCAGCAAGCAGCTGCTCCCTCGAGCCAGCGGGAGCGAAGATGGATTCGATGAAGTGATCGACAACAACATTGATTTACCCCAGAACTGACATTCCCCCAACGCATCTACGCAACATACGTAGAATGATTGCCGAATCTTCGAACACGCTACGTACCCTTCGTAGACTCGAAGCAAAATAATTCTTGGGCGTGTCAATTATGTAGTCGATCCCCTACTCGAGAAATCAAGGGATCGAGGGCTCTAGGGATCGAGGGCTCCAGGGATAGAGGAATATCAGGGATATCAGGGGTCGAGGAATCGAAGGTCGAAGGGATCGAGGGATCGAGTGATCGAGGGATCGAGGGATCGAGGAACGAGGCATCGGGGGGATCGAGGCATCGAGGCATCGAGGCAAGGGGCTCGAGGGCACGAGGGATCTCAGGGGTCGACGGTCGACGGCCGAGGGCCCCTTGAGGCCAGGCGGGGCGGGGGCGAGGCGGCCAAGCTCGACAGGTACGCTTTCGGTGGCGACTCCTGGGAGCCTCCCAGACCATCTTGCCGACTCGAGCGGGCGTCTTGCTGAAGCTTACCAGCCTGGAACGTATCCCTATCCCTAAGATTGACACGCCAACAGGCGACGACAATCTTAGGGATTCAAACTCAAAAAACAAGGGAATCCCTGAGATTGGCATCGTGATGGGGAGGTGCCCAGCATAGGGATAGGGATATGCTCCAGGCTGGTAAGAAGCAGGGGAACAAACACTGGCATAAGCATAAAACTCGGAGGTCCGTGCGGACTTCTCGAGTCGGCGCTGGTCCCCCTCCATGGCGCGCGCAGCGCGCCCGGGGCGGCGTCGGAGCCGCCGCCAAGGGGGCCCCAGCGCCTCTCCGAGAAATCCGCGCGAACATCTGAGTTTCTGTGTTTGTGTCATTGTTGGTTCCCCTAATAAGAGTGCCCCTGGCCCGAGGTGCCCGTGGCTTTCGGCCCCGTCTCGAAGCCCCTGGGCCCCCCCCCGTGGGTGGGCCTCGTGCTAGGGGTGCCCTGGATGCGTGCGGGGGCCTCCCTTGGGACATCCGGGGGGCACCTTGGGACAGGGGCACGTCCTGTAGCAGCACGCTTCGGTGGCAAGTCATGGAAGCATCCCATAGCACCATCTTGTCGGCTAATTCGAATCGACGCCAATCAATGCTAAGTAGACGTTAATCGACGCTAAATCGACGCCAATCGACGCTGACCGACGCTAAATCGGTGCCAGCTCGTCGACCCCCACGCGCGAATCAACGCGAATCGACGCTAAAGACGGAATTAAGAGGGTATACCAGGCTCCCATGATTTGCTTGCCGGAGGCGTGCGACGATCACAAAAAGGGTCGTACGCGTGATAACGTGGCGACCTTACGCTGCGGCTTGCGCGCGCCGCTGGCGCGGCACGCCACAGCAGAGACCAGGGCGCTCACGCGCGACCTCACGCGGGGAGCTTCCGCGCTACTGTCGGCGCAGACCTCCCCGTTTCTTTGCGTGGCTCAGGTGTTGGGAGGCAAATCCTGGGAGGCCCTCGCAGAAACGATCAAGAATTGTTTGGCCTCGCGGGCGCGCGGGAGGCTGGGCCTGTGCGCGCGTGCCACTGCTCTCGCACTGTGTTCGGCCACTGGGAGTCCCCAGAGGGCCCGCGCTGATGATTCTTGGGGCGAAGGGTCACTCTGACGCGTCATCGAATACCGTCGGGGCGTTGACCTAAGGAACGATAAATAAGGTTCGAGGCCCCTTTTGCCCACAAGTTCAACTTCGATTTCCAGTGCAAAACATCAGGAACACCGAAGGCAAACTGCAGAACAATCAAGGGACACCGAGCCCCTGCCCAACACAAAAGGTTCCTTCTGCAGCGCTCCGACTGTAACTTTGCCTTGAGGTAGAAGTTCTCTTTTGTTGTCTTCTATACGGGGCCACGGGGCCCCCGAAGTCCCAGCCCCTTCCTGCGGACCCGATTTTCGCCCGGAAAGATTTTGTGGACAGTCTCGGGGCCCAGCGAGTGCCACCAGAGGCCAAACACGCATAAAAAAACGATTGGTCTTCAAAACGGCGTAACTCTGTGTCGAGGCCCGCTTTCACCGGGCCGCGGCGCGCAGTCCCGAGCTTTTTGGGCCCTGGAAGCGGCAGACCAATCCGTTTGCAAAGCCCGCTTCGCCGTTGTTGCTTCTGGTTTAGGTGCCGCTTTTCTTCCCAGCTCTGTCGCCGATGTTTTTCCGGTCCCGGTTTCGGCTTCAACTCCAAAGCCGTTTCGTCTCCGTTTCCTGGAACCGTGCATGTTTGAACCGCTTGCAAGTTCCAACATCCGATTGTTGGAAATGGTGAAAAAAACGGCCTGTGTCTTGTCCGGGGCCCGCTAATTGGCGGCGAGCCTGGGGGAAAGTGAGAAGGGGCGGGCCTTCTCAGAAGGCTCGGAAGTCCTCAGATGTTGTAAGCCTTCCCCAAAGACACAGAGGCCTTGTGAGAAGTCCCGCCGCCTTCTGAGAAGGCCGTCTCTTTCTCACTTCTCCTCGCTCGCCGCCGAACCGAAATCCCGGGGCCCGAGGCTCCGTGTCTTATCCAGGGCCCGCTCAGCCCTGAGACCCGACGTTGCGAACAACATTAACACATCGTACAAAATCCCGACCGGAACGCCCGGCTCGAAAAAACTGCAACGCCAACCCTTCCCCTCATTCTTCCGGACCTTCCGCCCTGACCTTCTGCCCCTTTTCCGACATGATCCACGTGGGCTCCCCTGAATTGCGTACTGCCTCCATGAATGTCGATGAATCCTTCCGCACCCTCCGCGGAAGTCAGAAGGTGTGGGAGGTGGAGGTGGAGGGACAAACGTCCGTGCCGACACGGCCGCATCGCGGATGACTCGAGATTCGGGGATGGACAGACCCCCCTTTAGCAAAACGTGGTTTAGTGAAAACAACCTGAGGCCCAAACCTGGCGGGCGCAAGCCTGGAAAATAACGGCCACGGCGCCCTCTCGAAAACCGAAAACGGACAATTCACTAATCGACGTGCCACTGTTGGGGGTTCTGTCCACCCCCGAGAGATTCCTGTCTCCTGTCTCCGTCACCTGAGGTCCCTCGAGGCCTCTGGAGGACCCTGCAGGTGGAGGCCCGAGGTCTTCGCGGAGTCCCTCGGCAGGCCGAGAGAGCGGACGCAGCCTTGCGGGCACCTCGACTTCCTCGGGCTGAGGACTCGGCCTTCGCTCCGAGGGGAGCTCCTCCTGCTCCTCGGAGGAGTGGGGGTCGAGCTGCGAGAAGACTCGCAGAGTCTGGGTGGAGCTCCGGACGTCCGCTCGGCAATTCTTGGGTCGGCGCTGCCCCCCCTCGCCCATGGGCGGCGCCGCCAAATTGGTGCGCATCCCGCGCCAGGGAGGCGGGGGGGCAGAGATACGATGTTGAGAGGCCTCCGAACTTGGGTCCGAGTAATGGGGTCGGAGGATCTCGCCACATCGCCAATGCATCGGCGATGCATCGCCGATGCATCGGCGACGTATCGGCCCTGCACTGGCGACGTGGACGATGCATCGGCGACATCGGAGTGAAAAAAATTGGGCCCCACATCGAGCCGCACCAGGGATGCATCGCCGATGAATCGCCGATGCGGCGCGATCCTCCGACCCCGTCTACTCCGACCCCATCTAGGAGGCCTAAATTCTTGTGTTGTTTCCCTGCGCGCAGCTCTGGACCACTTCCCGGGCTCGTTTCAATACGCGCAGCTGCAGGAAACTTCCCGACGGCATCCAGACGCCGCATCCCGAGCACAACAGTCCACCGCTGTTTGCTCACTTTCCTCGGGGGTCTGGGGGGCCCGGCGCCGATCCGAGAGATCCGCGCAAGGCTACTCTGCTGCGCCATGTCTCTGCAGTCAGCCACGCGCCGAGGGGGTAGGAGGGGGGAACTGTGCGGTGCGCGCAGCTGCGGACCATGTCCTGACACGCTTCCCGACGCCGCGGCCTCGAGCACAGAAGGGAGGCCCCGAGGCCCCGAGGCCCGAGCCCCCTCGAGGTGCTGGTTGCCGCGCCGCATGCGGTGCAGCTGCTCCAGCACCCCGCGCCGCCAGGACCTGCGGCGGCCGCCCGAGGCGCGCCGCCCGGGGCCGGCGAGGACGCGCACGGCCGTGCACCACCACCGCGCCGAGGGCCCGTGGGCCACCCTGCCCCCACCTCCTCCCCCTCCTCCTCCTCCTCCTCCTCCTCCTCCTCCTCCTCCTCCTCCTCCTCCTCCTCATCCTCCTCATCCTCCACCTTCTCCTCCTCCCTCCCTCCTCCTGCCTCCTCCTCCTCCCTCCCTCCCTGCCTCGCTCCCTCCCCCCCCCTCCCTCCCTCCCTTCCTCCCTCCCCTCCAACCAACGAAGACGGCCGTAGGGGGGGGTGACCCGTACCTCCATCTCAAGGCATTCGTGCCACCACCTACCATTCCAGGCACCAATTGCCACCCACCACATCTATCCTCCTTTGGGCCGTGAACGGGATTTATTCCCCTGCCGGCTGATTGTGCCTGTCAATGTCAGTCAGCCTTTACATTTTGGCACTTGGGCCACCCCAGCAGTGCACCAAGGGTGACGGTTCGACCCGTGCTGTAGTGGCACTCATGCGGTCGTGTCCCTCTCCCCGCCCACCTAGGGTGATGGTTCGACCCGTGCTGTAGTGGCACTCATGCGGTCGTGCCCACTCCCCGCCAACCAATCGAGAAGACCTACCTCCAGGATCCCTTTGGGCCACAAATCTACGTTTGACTTCAGTCTCTGTCCCCCCGCCCCTCTCTTCCCCGTCCCCGCTCTGTCCCCTTGCCCGCCCCTTTCCCCCCCCCCCCGCTTTGCTCCCCGCCTCTCCGCCCTGCTCCCCTCTCTCTCTCTCTCTCTTTCTCTCCTCTCTTTCTCTCTCCCCTCTCTCCCCTTCGCCCCTCCTGCTTTCGACCCGCGGTCGAATAAACACTGCCCCCCGTGGCATCCCCCCAGCTGTTATCCCACCCCATGGGATAACGAACTCGTAGGGCTTATCCAGTTTCGGTATCGAAACTGTGTATGCCGTTTTCGGACCCCTTTTCAGGAATCCTGCCTTAGGACCGTCCTCAGGAGCGACCTCTAACCCATGCTCATCAAGAACAGGGACAACCCCAAACCGCAAGGGCATGTTTTCTCTTTTGTTTTCGCTTCGGCGGTCCCCGGGCCTCTCCCTGATCCCCATCGCGCCAGTTTTCCGAGCCGCGTCCGGCCGTGGTGGCGTGGGATTCTGGAAAATCTCCCCACTCCCTCCCTCCGACCCTCTGTCCGAATGACAACACAGTGGCGTATACACAGTCTCGGAGTCGAAGCTGTGTATGCTGGTTTGTGGGCCCCCATTTGCAGGAATCCCGCCTCAGGAGTGAGAGGCATCGCGGGCGTCATCGACACTCGGAGTGGCCCCCCCCCCTCTCGCCCCTCCCCTCGGCGAGGACCGTCATTAGGCCTCGTCGGTGAGGACCGTCATTAGGCCTCACACCCCTCGCAGCTTCCATCAATGGGGTTGCGAGGGTTCCCGCTCCCACCAGTCAACCTTCCATTTTGCCGTCAATAGGCACCGGAGGGGGCCGAGGACCCCCCTACGGTCCCTCGGCCAACGAAGACGGCCGTAGGGGGGGGTGACCCGTACCTCCATCTCAAGGCATTCGTGCCACCACCTACCATTCCAGGCACCAATTGCCACCCACCACATCTATCCTCCTTTGGGCCGTGAACGGGATTTATTCCCCTGCCGGCTGATTGTGCCTGTCAATGTCAGTCAGCCTTTACATTTTGGCACTTGGGCCACCCCAGCAGTACACCAAGGGTGACGGTTCGACCCGTGCTGTAGTGGCACTCTGCGGGCGTGTCCCTCTCCCCGCCCACCTAGGGTGATGGTTCGACCCGTGCTGTAGTGGCACTCATGCGGTCGTGCCCACTCCCCGCCAACCAATCGAGAAGACCTACCTCAAGGATCCCTTGGGGCCACAAATCTACGTTTGACTTCAGTCTCTGTCCCCCCGCCCCTCTCTTCCCCGTCCCCGCTCTGGCCCCTTGCCCGCCCCCTCCCCCCCCCCCCCGCTTGCCTCGCTCTCTCCCTTCCCTCCCCTTCGCCCCTCCTGCTTTCGAGCCGCGGTCGAATGAACACTGCCCCCCGTGTCATTCCCCCAGCTTCTATCCCACCCCATGGGATAACGAACTCGTAGGGCTTATCCAGTTTCGGTGTCGAAACTGTGTATGCCGTTTTCGGACCCCTTTTCAGGAATCCTGCCTTAGGACCGTCCTCAGGAGCGACCTCTAACCCATGCTCATCAAGAACAGGGACAACCCCAAACCGCAAGGGCATGTTTTCTCCGAATGACAACACCACTCCCCCTCCCTCCCCTGCCCCTTCCTTACGTCCTCCTTCCCCCTCCTCTCCTCCTCCTCCTTCCTCCTCCTTCCCTGGTCCGTCGATGTAGTGAACAATTAGTCCTGGAGGTTCCGGGGGGTGTGGCGTATACACAGTCTCGGAGTCGAAGCTGCGTATGCTGGTTTGTGGGCCCCCATTTGCAGGAATCCCGCCTCAGGAGTGAGAGGCATCGCGGGCGGCATCGACACTCGGAGTGGCCCCCCTCCCTCTCGCCCCTCCCCTCGGCGAGGACCGTCATTAGGCCTCGTCGGTGAGGACCGTCATTAGGCCTCACACCCCTAGCAGCTTCCATCAATGGGGTTGCGAGGGTTCCCGCTCCCACCAGTCAACCTTCAATTTTGCCGTCAATAGGCACCGGAGGGGGCCGAGGACCCCCCTACGGTCCCTCGGCCAACGAAGACGGCCGTAGGGGGGGGTGACCCGTACCTCCATCTCAAGGCATTCGTGCCACCACCTACCATTCCAGGCACCAATTGCCACCCACCACATCTATCCTCCCTCCCCTCCCTCCCTCCATTCCTCGATACCTCCTCCTCCTCCTCCTCCTCCTCCTCCTTTTCCGCCTCCTCCTCCTCCTCGTCCTCCTCCTCCTCCTCCGTGCATGGAGCCCTGTGTTTTGCGATACTACCCTGGAAACGATCGCGTCGACAGAGAAATCACGATGGAAGGTGTTTTGCAATGTTCGGCCTCTGGGAGCCCTTGCTGGGCCCCGGGATCGTCAAAGAAGATGCAGGATGAAAAACCGGCCATGGGGAAAGGGTCGGGACTTACGGGGACCGTGCATTGAAAACGTCAAAACGTCGCATGTCTGGGGAAGGGCCGCTGAAATAACCCCTGTAAGAAGGACGCGCGATAAGGATGCAAGAGCCTTCTTTTTCAATTCGACTGGGCGACGAATCACTTGAGACAGTCCGAGATCTGCGTGCAGAACGCGCATGGCCCGGATAGAAAAATGTGAAAACGTCACCCGTATGCAATTAGAACACTGGTGCGCTGGCCGAAGGGAGCTTGTGCTCATACGCCAGGGCCTCCCGCGCGACCTCCGGAAGCTTTGCCTACTCAATCAGACAACTCTCAATCACACGACAGAAGCGCATTTGATCCACGATCGCTCCACCTTACACGTATGAGTGACGTAGGGTCTGCCCATCGTTTGGGAAAATGTCGCACGCACTCTGCGACTCTCAGCTCAGAGAAGCAGCCGCCAGGATCTGCGGTGGCCGCCCGAGGCGCGCCGCCCGGGGCTGGCGAGGACGCGCACGGCCGTGCACCACCACCGCGCCGAGGGCCAGCGGGCCACCGTGCCCCAACCCTCTCCTTCTCCTTCTCCTCCTCCTCCTCCTCCTCTTCACCTCTTCCTCCTCCTCCTCCTCCTCCTCCTCCTCCTCCTCCTCCTCTTCATCTCTTTCTCCTCCTCCTCCTTCCTCCCTCCCTCCCTCCCCTCCCTCCCTCCCCTCCCTCCCTCCCTTCCCTCCCTCCCTCCCTCCCTCCCTCCCCCGCCTCCTGCGGCCGCTCATCTCGCGCCTTCCCCTACCTCCCCTGCCGGTGGGGTTGTGGGGTGAAGGACGCGAGGCCGTGCGGGAAGCAGGTTAGCTGGTGGCGGTGGATCTCCTCTCAGGGTGTGCTCGGAGTAACCCTTGCAATCACGATTGCAACCACGACTATAATCACAACTACAAACACTATTACTGATTCCTATTGCATTCATCGTGAGAAAATGCTTAGCTGTCATCGCGCGTGTGTGAGACAGAGGCCCCAGCATTACCCACCCCGTTCAATAGAGGGGACATAATCTCCGCCGCGACGACGACGACTGTAGCAACGATCACGAAGGAGGAGGACGAGGAAGAGGAGGGGGGGAGGAGGAGGAGGGGCAGGGCAGGAGGCGAAGGAGTAGGAGGAGGATGAGGAAGAGGAGGAGAAGGAGAAGAAGGAGGGAGAGGAGGAGGAGGAGGACAAGGAGGAGGATGAGGAATAGGAGGATCAGCAGGAACGGGGGGAGCAAAACTACAGACATTTAGCGATCGTTTGGGGTCTAGCCTGGGACATACGACGGAGTGCGCCCCCGAACCACCCCTTCTTACCTCGATAAACGGCTAGTTTCTGTGGGGAACTCAGAACCCCCCACGTCGTGCTTGTTTGTTCACGGCGCGGGCCTCCAAAAAGGCCTGGACCCCTCACCCCTGCATTCTGAAACGTTCTGGGACAACCCATGAGCCCGACAAGGGCCCCTGGAGGCCAGCATACACACACAGTCCCTAACGCGGCGAGGCGACGATACCGTCGCGATGCGCTGAGCCGGGATACGTATAAGCGAATGACCACCGGGTCGAATATTACAACCGATCGGGCCGAACATCACAATCGATAATTAGCAACCATGCGTTGCGCTCGGCGCCAGCCCGCGCCCGCAACGCCGCGCCCACGCCGCGAACGACTGGCAAGATTGGGATCTGGAGGGGTGGGTGGGCGCAGGCGGACGACGAGCGGCGAGCGACGAGCGGCGAGAGACGACGATGAGCGAGGACGAGCGACGACGACGAGAGATGGCTACGGGCGGCGGCGACGACGGGCGGCGGCGAGCGACGACGACGAGGGCGAGCAAAGACGGCGGCGGCCCACGCAGCGAAGACGACACGACGAGAAGAGGTCCAGCGACGAGCGACGAGCGACGGGCGACGGGCGGTTGCGACGAGCGGCGACGACGAGTGGCGACGACGAGCGGCGAGCGAAGACGGCGGCGGCGGCCCGCGCAGCGAGGAGGGCACGCCACGAGGTCGGGGCGCTCGGGCGACGGGCAACGAAGGGGGGGGCGCGAGGAGGAGGAGGAGGAGGAGGAGGAGCGATGGCAGAGGGAGGCAGAGGAGGTGGAGGAGGAGGAGGAGGAGGAGGAGGAGGAGGTGAAGGATCGCTCGCGGTCTTCTTCCAGCCGCCAGCGGGCAGGCCCTCCCGCCGAGCTTCGGGGGGGGGGGGCCCGCCGGGGCGCCGACCGCCGGAGGCCCGCTGGGGGCCGCGGCCGCGCAAGGTGCGCCGCACAGCGGCGGCGGCGGCGGCGGCGGGGGCAACGCGCACGGGTCGCCACACAGCAGGCGGGTTCCGAGGGAACTGTTCGAGCGTGGAGGAATGGTGAGCGTTTTCTTTCTTGGCGCTTCGACATGGGGCGGAAGAGGGGGGAGGGGGGGGTCTGGTGGCTCCGGAGCTCTGCTCAGTGCGATTGTTTGCGGCAGTGCGTCCTATATGGGGGAGACCCCACCTGCTCGAAACAGGCGCCACAAAAATTGCCAAGATCTACTCCCCCGAAGACACCGAACACCTGTCAGAAGGCGCGAGGGCCTCTGAAAAGCCCCGCCGCCTTCTGAGAAGGCCTTTTCCTTCTCACTTCCCCCCCCCTCGCTCGCCGCCGACCTACTGATCGTACCCCCGCGACTCGACGCCGGGAACGGGCCTGGAAGTTTTTTCTCCGGCTAGGGGCCCCCCAGCCCCTCCACGGGCCGGCTACGGGCCACGGGCCCCTTCAAAAGACGCCTTTGCACAAACAAAAACTGATCCTGGCGAAATATCAATTCAAACAAATGCGTAGGAGCCCTGGTGGGATGGCGTGGACCCCTGGTTCCCCGAGCTCCTGGGGGGCCCGAAAAAAACACCCGAAGGCCCCCCGAGAGCCCCCAGGCGGCGCCAGAACACTCCTGAAAAGCTCCCGCGCGGCCCATGGAGGTCCCCGGACTGTCCAAGACGGCCCTCGGGCGGCCCAGGCTGCTCCCCTGACGGCCACAACGGCTCCAAGAGGGCCCAAGGGGACCCCAAAGAGGGCCCCAGGAGACCTCCGCGAGAGCTCCATCCAGCAAAATGGCCACATTCCCAAGGAAAACTTACGTTTTCAGCCAACTCGCATTTTGGGTCGTCCCCGCGTCCCACGACCGCCCAAGAAGTCCCCAAGAAGGCCCCCAGATGGCTCATGACGTTTTCAGGACGGTCCACGAAGCTCCCAAGACTGCCCAAGAGGACCCCAGGAGGGGCCCCAGAGGGGCCTAATACGGCCCAAGATGGACCCAAGACGGCCCAAGAGGTGTCCAAAATGGCCCACGACGGCCCCAAGACGGCCCGACAAGCGTCCTACAAGGCCCCAGAAGGCACCAGGAGCCCTCCCAGGAGTTCCAAAAGGGCTTCCTACAGGGCCCCCAGCGACTCCCAACAGACTACACATATGCATCCTACAGGTGGGGGCGGATGTCAGACCAGAGGCCCCCGCCCATTCCCAGCGAGGCCTTCCCCTTTTCATCGTTTCCCCACGCTTCTGCCCGCTCCTCCCGTTCCTCCTGTTCCTCGCGATTATCCTCCCTGCTCTTGCTGTTCATTCTCCATCATCCGCCTCCAAGATTGCTCCGCTACGACGACGACGACCACCACGCCCACGACGACGATGACGACACCGACGGCGACGACGACGACAACGACGACGACGACGACGACGATGCACACGACCAGGAGGACGACGGCGGTCGCTGAGTGCGTCGCAGACCCGAAAACGCACCGCCAAAGTTCTATCCCCGCAACCCCGTAGATTTAATCCACGGTCCACATACATTTATATATGTATGCCTAATAATTATATATTATATATATATATATATAATATATATATATAGATATATACATACATAGATCCGCCGACCCCAGAGGCGTGTGAGGGAAAGCGATCCAGCTCGGGCACACCCCTACCCCAGGTAGCCTCCACCACGCCCTGGAGCCTCAGTTCTTGGACTCTCCCCACCGCGATTTCTCGTCCAACAACGACCGATACCCCCCACCGCGCCCC